TTCCAATTTGCCACCACACTTCTGGTTTTGTCACAATGTACAATTAAAGTTCAACATAAATTACAGCAAATGTTACATTAAAGAAATAGTTCATCCTGTCTTTGCTGGTCACTTAGCACTGCGAAACTGTTTCCGGTATGATTTTCTTTTGTATGAAGCATCAGGATTTTGTCTGTACAATAATCAGCCATCATATTTACATTCCAACGTCTTTGGTATCTTCACTCCATTTCACTAATATCTCGGTGAAATCTCTCACCTTGTTCCTTACTATACTTACCCAAATTTTCAGGAAAGTAATCAAGGTGCGAGTATAGGAAATGCATCTTGACACTCATTCTACATCCAAGATCTTGAAAACGACGTATCATATCCTTGACGTGAACCTCATAGTCGGATGACTTCTTGTTTCCGAGAAATCCATCAAGGACTTTACGTAATTCCTCCCAGGCTTGCCTCTCCACTGTCACCATTTTGGCTGCAAATACACTGTCCCTCAGCAATCTTCTTATCTGTGGTCCGCCTTCCGGTACTGAGTGACAGAACCTGAAAGCGGACCTTAGTTCTGCATACAAAGGTCGGCACATAGGTACGGCTGTAAGTTTACATAACTGCAAGCTGCCTGTAAACCCTGCTGAATAGTTTGTACGAAAAGTTAGTCTATGACAGGTTGCTGGTTATTTTATATGACTGACATGCAATGCATTGTATATGAAAAAAAGTTAAGTCGAAATCACAGAAAAACCAGACGTGCTGGAGCAAAACTTAATATACTAAAAATGTTTGTTTATGAAGTGTGTTTGAAAAAATGTAATTTGATATTATTCACCAAATTTGATGTCGGCTAATGTAATCAGAGACACAGGAAACTGAGCTGACTAACTCTATTCTATACAATGTACCTGGACTCGTTACAAAGCATCTGGGCTTGATGTGGTCAGATTACTGAAGGTCATCGTTATTTTACAGATAAATACTCAGATTTTTTTCACGTTTCTTTTAGTTCATGAACAGGCTTTGGGGCACTCCCAAGATCACAGAAATCATTCCACTGAGTGTCGGCAAAGAGTCGTGATCTGAGGGTCCTTCATCCATGTGGTCACACCTTTGTGTGGTTTCTGCAGAGGAATCTTACAGGTTCAGTCTCGTCATTCCCACGATGAAGAGCTCCAGTGGCTCTAACAGTTTTGATGTAGGCGCATTTTTCTGGTAGGGTTCAAGTCCACGGACCCCCCTAGAGGAGGACAGTAAATTCAAATAAACAGAAAGCCAGGCTCACGTTCACAGTGAAGGGTTTGAAGGAAATTAAAATCAAGTGAACCACATGATCATGATCAGTTACCAAATCTTAACCAACTCTTCATAACTAGCAGACCCTGATTTACTAGGCTGCCTACGGGTGCACCATAAATAATGTGTCCCCTGTGGTGGAAGCCTGAGGAGGTAGGGCTGTGTCAGGAGGGAACATGCACATTCCGCATAGGTAGGGCTGTGTCAGGGGGGAACATGCACATTCCGCATAGGTAGGGCTGTGTCAAGGGGGAACATGCACACTCCGCATAGGTAGGGCTGTGTCAGGGGGGAACATGCAC